TATACAATTCAGGTGATGAGGGTCTCTGTCAGTTTCTCTTAATCCGACTCCAAACTCGACCTTTACCCAGTGAACAGGTGTGTGCTGTGCCCACAAATTATGAGTGAGTGTCCAGGCAGAAAAGCTACCAACAATAGGAGGCTAATACAATCCAAGTACTTCATGTCCAGAAAGGAGCTATCATCCCAACGTGATGAATATACTTTTATCTCCCAACAGCAATTTAAAGAAAAACAATGATGAGGATGAGCAGAGTAGTATATTCATACTCCTTCAGTTTTTGGGGGTTTTTTTTGGGGGGGGGATCCTGTTTTTTACACAAATAACCCGCTACAAGTTGTTAGGTTATAAATTCCTTTCTCAAATATTGTTGCTCGTATTCCAATTTAACATATGATATGAATATGAAAACAGCCATGACAGCATCTCCACTAGGCAGTCACTTCACACAGATAAATAAACCTTCAAGAAGAAAGTGAAAAATTAGTATAGTAATTCCTCATACGCAATATAAAAACTCCCATATATATATCCTGCACTTATCTTTTAAAATCAAATCTATTCAATTTAAAAACATGTCATGGGTTCATTTACTTGTTATGAAAAGGAGCTAACTGGGCAATGACACAGTATAATAAAAAGAACAACTAGTATTAGAAAAACGTTCACAGTCTAATAGGTAATAACTCTTCAGCAGTGTTTATCTGACCAACAGCAGTGTTTAAGGTCTGGTAGAATTTCTAAATCTGTCCCAAAGAAAAACATTCTTAACTAAACAAGTAAGATGGAACAACCAAAAATACGTTCTTTATAAATTCTCCAAAAAGTTAAATATTCTGAAAAAACTCTTAGAAAATTTATGAATTTTCTTTTAAAAAGCAGCTAAGATTGAGAAATACTTCTGGCATATCTGAAAAATAATTTCAAAACTATTCAAAAGAGATTATCCTTTAATTTTTTTTTTTTAACAATGCAAGCTTTTATCAAATTTTCCTTTTTGAACTCACCCATCTGCTCCACAATCTCTGGTGGAAATACTCTGGAAGCAAATGCTCGTCGAAAAATATCTGAAAATTCTCTGTCCAGACCTCCTATTCCCATTTTTTCAAAGTTCCAATCAGGATTGATGATAGACTGGCGATTTTCCTTGGTTTTAGCTTTGCCTATAATCAAACAATCAAATGTGAAAAGAGAACTTTGTCATGAAATGTAAAAAGACATACTCTCTTAGCATCTTAAATGAGTAAAGACAAGCTATACTTATGAAACAATACCGACATAATTTTGGGTGATTTTCTAATAATTAGGGCAAGTTTGCTTTATCTACATTTTCTCTTCTGTCTCTTTAGTACTAAACTTTCAAAGTGACTAGCTAAATTTAAAGTGCAGTCTATATTCCATTTATAATCAATTTATGGGATCTGATTGAATGAATCTTTTATTCAACCAAGTCAACAACATGGTTGATTAGAAGAAACACTACATGCACATGTACAATTTTTTAAAAAAGTACTAGTTACTTGAAATGCAACTACAATCTAGCAGTTTCTTAAAGCTCCTAAAGCAATTGTATTTTAAATGCATTTATCTCAATTAGGTTTTTAACTGGGTATACAAACCCTTTGTCTGAAATGTCCTGAATCACCTTGGTATTTTATTTGCTTTTTCTTTACATGGATACAAAGGTCTAAAATTACTGTAAAGACTTTAATGACAAAATCCATGTTTACAACAGTCTCTCACAAAGGTAATATCTAACTTAAATGTCAGAGTGCCACCTAAAGTAACTCAAGAGAACCACACTTACTATTTAAAAAAAAAAAAAACAGGTTCCTTACATTCTACTATGATAAAAAGTAAAAATACAGCTTTTATGAAGTCAGGGAAGAAAAGATCACATTAAAAAAGTTTGGATCATAGTTTTATTTTTAAAAGTTTTGAGGATGTAAGAGTTACTTTAGGAAGTGATAGAAAATATTTTGTTTACACTCTATTGCCCTCATGTGGTCAAATCTGCTGTATGGAAAATTACTACATGGTTTTGTTTTCCCATAGAAACTGCATCTTCGCACAGAAGACTCGCTTTTTTATCTTTTCTGCAGATTACCTGAAAACATCTACATTGTATGAAAGTTGTATAATTCCCTCAGGATAAAATATCCTAAACTACGTACAAAAATAGGACACAAAGTAATCGCTTTATAAATATAATACATCACTAATAAGAGATTATGATATACTTAACACATAAATGACTATATAGACGTTAAAAATAATTTAACAGTGTGTGAAGACATGAAACATGTTAAAACAAAAAATCAAATTATAAAACAGTATATAAGTAAAATCAGATTTTAGAATGTCAACGTTTTTGAGAAAAATACCTGTTTATATTTTATTAAGAAAATACAATAAGAGAGAATAGTAATTTACAAATCAAGAAAAAGTGCCACACATTTAACTAACCTTGGACATGATGGGTGAAAAGCTTTTTTTAATTGAGGCAGATATGCACAGTTAAATATACCAAAAACAAGTACTAATATCCAGTTAATGACACAGTTATTTTGAGGAGACTAAACTGCATTATTTTATTTTATTTATTTTATTTTTTAGAAGCTTTCTTTTTTTAAAATTTAATTAATTTATTTTTGCGTGTGTCTGTGTGTGTGTGTGTGTGGCCAGCTCAGCCCACCAGGGGGCGGGGCTGGCTGGCATGTGGTGCTGGGGGATTGAACCGCGGTCCCTGTGCTTTGCTAAGCTTGTTCTAAGTAGGTGCTTTAGACCACTGAGCCATCTCACCAGCCCCCTGCATTATTTTAATATACTAAAAATAAAGCTAGCACACAAGAGGAAGAAAAACAAAAGAGATAAGTACAAGACAAGGACTGAAGAATCATTACATTTTAACTGTTTATCACTTGATCCCTAATAAAATGATAATAGTATCTCACTTAACACAACAACCAAATGAGGGCCACATTTTAACTGGCAAGTTCTCAAGGTCATGAAAGATAAAAAAATTATGAGGAACTGTCAGTAACTAGAAAAGACTAGAAGCAACTAATTGCATTGTGGGATAACCCTAGTAAAATGCCAGAACAGGGGCTGGCCAGAGAGCTCAGTGGATTAAAGTGCCTGCTTAGGCAGATGCAGGCACCAGGGTTCAATCTCTGGCTGCATGCCGGCCCCGCCTCCAGGGCATGCTGATTCAGAAATTGAGACTGGGCGTGGGGGTGCCCACCTGTAATCCCAGCACTTGGGAGGCTGAAAACAGGAGGATCACTACAGAGTATGATCAGTGTACTGAGACCCTGTAGACCCTGTACTAAATTTAAAAAAAAATCCCAAGACAGAAAAATGACATAATGGAAACACTGGTGAAATCCAAGCAAAGTCTGCAGTAAAGTTACTAGCCATGAGATCATGCTTAGTACCTTAGTTTTGAACATCTTTGATTATATAAAGTATTCACATGAGAAAAAGCTGGCCAAAGGTATCTAGAAATTTTCTGAGCTATTTTTACAAATCTGTAAGCTTAAAATTACCAAAACTTTAAAGTTAAAAAATTAATCTCAATGCTTTTTAATTATTTTAGTATGTTGTTAGGAAATTTAAAATTATTAATGTGTTTCACGTTCTACTTTTTCTTTTGGTACTGGGGATCAAACTCAGGACCGTGTGCTTGCTAGGCAGGTACTTATGCCACTGAGCTATGTTACTGGCCCTCACATTCTATTTCTATTGGCCAAAGTTCATCCAGATGAAGGTTTTAAACTTGTCATCAGTACTTCTGACAAATAACACCCATGATTTTGTGATAAGCCCTCCAGAGAAAGTCCTTCTTCTCTTCTCAAGCTTGACAACACTTTAGTCGAGTCACAAAAAACAAAACTAAATCTTACCAATAAGATTGAGTGACGAATTTTCTGCTTTTTCAAATGCAACTTGACTGTTTCCAACAACCAGTCCTACTTCAATCTATACAGAAAGACAGTAATTAGCAGGCCAACACAGACTTCTACACATTTCAAAGCAAGGCTAAACATAAAGGAGGAATGAAGTCTTTGCACCAAGCACACCTTTGCAACAATCTGAGTTATTCACTTTTCTCATAATGACATTTCACGATTCCTACGTATTTATTTAAATGCCTGTATCTTCTCAATAAGGCTCCTGCATTCAACAAGAATCACAAGTATCAACAAGTATATACAAATTTCAAATTACTGTAAAGTCTGAAAATAAGTATATTTTAATAAAAGCTACTAAAAGCAATCTTTTCTTACTACCTTAAGAGACCACAATATGAAAAAAAATTAACAACGAGAGGTTAGTTACAAAAATTAGTCTGCACAATTCGTACCCAAGATTATCCCATGACAATCCGAAATAAAGCATACCTTCTGTCTTTTACCTGTCGCAGCCTCTCCTTTCAGGATGCTGGGATCCATGGCATCAATATCCTTCACCAGTAGCCCAAAAAGCTTTTCGTTGAAGCTGAACACAAGCTATGTAGGAGAAAAATTCCTCATGATAAAAATGGATTGATTCTCACATTATCAGGTAATTTTCCAAATATCCAAAATCAGTTTTCTCCTTCATACCCTTCTTAAATCTGCTGCACAAGCAAATTCACAGTGTTGATAAGAGGAAAGAGAGCTAATATTTATTATCTGCTAAATATCAAACACTATAGGGGCTTACAACATACAAATGCTCTTGGAAAGAAAATGCAGTTTTGTTGTTTTACTAGTGAGAAAGCTGAGTAGAAAAAGAGGCTAAGCAGTGGGCTCAGAGTTAGAGTGAACGATAGTGGCAGTGGTCAAGCCCAGGGCTATGACTCTGCAAACAGTATAAAATGCCTACCACGTATGCACAGAGAAGTGAATATTCATTCATTCACCAATACCTGCTGTATGCCTGCTACTCTAATACGCTGGGATATACTAGTAATACCAATCCTGCCATTGCTGTCACAAATGAGAATAAACACAAGAACAGCACTTTGGGACAAGATACTTCTTTATATTCTGAAGTATTTCATTTCATTGATTTATTCACATATTCAATGTCATTGGGTTTGGAATTATTAGAAATACCAAAGCACTTTTTATTAAACATTCTTTATGTATTTTCTGTGAATATACTAAAGGTAAAGACAAAGATGCAAACAATGCAGGTTAGCTAGATCATCTAAGTAAACAATGCAGGAATCCAAAAGGAATTCAGTATAGTCAAAAAGCAGTGGACTCGCAGTCAACAAATTATCAGCTAACTGGGGAGCCTGCTCAAATCATCTGATATAAAACAGCATGGCAGTGGCTCTCTGGCACAGCATCAAGGTCTGCTTACAGTGGAGTATTTGATAATACACACCATTTTTTATTTTCAGGCTTCCTCAACTAGAAAGCAAGTTCTATGAGAGTGGTTGGAACATACTTGATGCTATTAAATATTTGTTTAATTAATTCTTAGCTGTGTTCTTAGCTGTATGATGACAGGCACATAATTTACCTTCCTTCATTTGTAAATACAGACAAGATACTCTCTGATGCTTATTCCAATTTTCATATTTTCCTTAAAATTACATATTGTTTTCTTGTTTATCAGTAACTCAGCTTTTGTTTGCAAAAAAACTGACTTTTTAATATCTGGATTATCTAGGCCATTAGTCTTATTCTTCCAGTTGTACCAGTTAGAAAAGAGTAAAAACAATATTCCTTCCAGTCCGATAGCCGCTGCCTTCTCCTACTGTTCTCATTCCTCAGCAAGATCAGGCTAGGCAAGTCGATAGTGGATCAGAACACCAAGACAGTAGTGATTCTCAAATATCTTGGTTTCAAGGTACTACTATTATACACTTCTAAAAATGTTTAAAGATCCCAAAGAGCTTTTGTTCATATGGATCCGATCTATTGATATTCAATCTATTAGAAATTAGAAATAAAAAT